CTACAAATGCTGAGTATTCACAATTCAAGTCTACTGTTTGATTTTTTTTTTTGGTGATATTGTTATTCGTGCATTGACTACTCATGTTGAGCAATATTGACAATTCAGGTTCTATACTATTTTTTGACAAGTACAAGTTGATATTTTATCTACTTTTGTCTTTTTATTTGCTCTGAAAACAATGAGATTTCTTTCTCCATAATTTCCTTCCAATAGCAGTGGGGGTGAGGGATTTATAACATGAATTAGTAGAGAAAAAAACATCTGTCTGGAGGGTCCAAACACTGTAATCTCCCAACACTGTTGTATTCTGCCTTGAGCTATAGGTGCCTCTGGATTCTGTGCGGTGCTAGAATTGTCAGGAAACAATTTTGAGAGGAGAGTGACCCAGCCACAGATCATGTCAAAATAAGATTCAGGTTCTCATACCAATATATAATTGATGACTTCCTTAGGTATTTTAGTGCTTTATGTTTCTCGTCTGAAATATAACATGCTTTTCCACAACTAATGGGGGAAGACTATACGACGGGACCGTCAAGGTCTTGAGACCTGGTAGCATATATAGCTAAGACATTCGTATATTCAGTGTCTTAATAATTAGGAATCAGCCCAACCGTCAAAATGTAGTTGGCAAAAGGTTCAATCTGAAGAGGTCCAGTTGATGTTCTGTGTAACTTCTTTTTAACGTCTAGGTTTTGCACCTTCTATTCTCATCATGTTATCTTTTTGTGATCTGCATTTGATAGTTTGAAATGTTTTTCGAAAGAAGTATTTGGAATTGATATTTTTATTTCTTTTGATCGCATAAGCATTTAAAATTATTGTTGACATACTTTGCTTTCTTTTGCTGTAATTTGGTAAGCAGACCACATGAATTCGCATAGCTCAAACTTGTTTGCTTACCCTACGCCAAGTTAGAGCGTTTGAGTTACGGGATTTTTGGTCCAACTGTAGTGAAGTACCTATAGGATTTGGTTTGCATGGCTCATGGGCCACCTCTTTGTATTGGGGGTGCTCAGTTGGGGGTTTGCTGCCCCAAAGGTCACCTTTTGGCTCCTTTGAGTTCGCTGATGTTTTTATTTTTTGATGCCACAGATGGTCGCAAGATCAGGAATGGGAAACATGCAGTCAGAACTCTGATTTTGGTTGGATGCATCTTGCTGAACCAGTAATGCAGTCCTATACAGATTCTACAGATGGCTCTAGCATTGAAAAAAAGGAAAGCGCTATAGTGTGGCAGTACCGTGATGCAGATCCTGGCTTTGGGTTTTCTCAGGCAAAAGAGATGCTTGATCATCTAGAGAGTGTTTTAGCAAATGAACCTGTTGCTGTGAAAAGTGGGCAGTTCATTGTGGAAGTCAAACCTCAGGCATGTATACTTACCCCAGTTATCCATTGGTTGTTTCATTCTTATCTGTTGTTATAATTCTGGATTTTCTTTCATCAAATGGGTAAGTGGCATCGAAAGCCTAGCATGTTCATGACATCTTTCTTCAGATGATAACACACCTATTTTCTAATAATTTCATGTCAATCTTAGATTGAAAAGTGGAGTTGCATTCTTTGCATCTGAGAATGATATGAAGCAGCAGCCTTTGGCAATGAATGATATGACACAGCAGCAAATCATTGATTTTCTGTAGTGTGTCAATGTACATAGTGATGTATATATATTGGTTATGGTATGCCTGGCTAAGATGATAAGTAAATGACTGAACATCATTTTCATGTGATTATTTTAAATAGGCATATTACATAAACAAACAAACTTGGCCTCAGCTGGCGAGTAAGCACTCCAACTTTGAGAGAGCACATCTAGATACCTTAACTTGGTCTCATTGGCAACTAAACCCTTCAACTCGTCCCCACTGTGTCTCGTAGATACCTGATGCTGACGTGACACATAAATTTTGTAGGTGTCTAGATGATCATTTTGTAATTCTCACTGTCTAGAATTATCTTTGTATTGATGATGTTTGATTTATCCATCTTTGGTAGATTGCAGTCATTCAATTATTGTTCCTGACACATGGTTTGAGTAAAACGTTAATTTTCTCATTTTCCTTTCTAGGGGGTCAGCAAAGGTTTAGTAGCCGAAAAGATCTTCACATCCTTGGTAGAGAGAGGAAAGCTGGCAGATTTTGTGCTTTGCATTGGTGACGATCGATCTGACGAGGATATGTTTGAGATCATCGGTGATGCTTTATCCAGAAATATTCTTTCTTATGATACCAAAGTATTTGCCTGCACAGTGGGACAAAAACCAAGCAAGGCTAAATATTATTTGGACGACACTTCAGAGGTTAGATTTATGCTAGAGTCTCTTGCTGAAGCAACTATTACTCCATTTACTTCCGATGAAGAAGCTGAGGACTCGGCTTGAATTAGCTGATGGATGCCTTGGTTTGTTTGGTTTCCTTCCTACTGCATGTATATTCCAGGTTGGGCCAGTGACTTTCATCTCTTTGATAGTTAGTTTTAGGTTTTAAGAAAACGGAATTATATTCCGTTCAATCATTCTTTCCTTTTGACATTGATCCATTCTTTTACCCCTTCCTTGGAAGTACTTTGTGTGAGAAGTGGAGTACTGAAGTTGATTGCAGATTGTTTGTGCATCTTGGGAAAAAAATATCAAATCGTAGAGTCCCGGTGAAACATTTATGCAGAATTAGGAGGAAGAAACCAAGACACAGATGTGAAAAACATGGTATCAACTATTTTACAAGATTGACGGTGGCAGTGAGTTTTGTAGAACTAAAAGTTTTGATCACTCTTCGAATAATAAAGTTCTCATTATTCTGGCAGCTAACATTATTACTGTGGACAAGCTTTTATGAAGGTTGTCTTGCGTCTGCATGATACATCGATGGTTAACTTTTCAAAAGTACCTTGGAGTTATACAGGAGTTCTGTCGATGGACATGGAACCGGTTTGTGGTAAATAAGCATCAACACATAGATCGAGGCAATGGCGTTTTGGCGATCTTATTGTACAGACTTTTTGGTGATGAAAATGGATGTTTTTATCACCATGTTTTCTTTTGGTTCATTTGGAAAGCATCATGTTGATACAAGTAATGCAATAATATTTTGCTCTATAAATTGGTGTCTTTAGTTTTGTTATGATATTTTGCTCCATGGTATCTTTCTGTTTGTCTGTTCTATTTCCCTTTCCCATTTACATGTAAACCATATTCTGCTCCTGTTCTGTTTCAATTTGTTTGTTCTATTTTCCTTTTTCAGTATCTCTTTAATACTAACTTTACGCATGACATGTTTAAGACTATAAGATTAAAGGATATTTGTCATATGGTACATGCTATATATCTTTAGTTGAAGACCATAAGATTTAAAAGTTTTCTTTACTTTCTTGTATCAAGTCAAAATCAGATAAATAAATTGAAATAGAGTGGTATATATTTTGCAATGCTTTCTTTATAGATTCTCTATTCCAGTTTTAAGAAAAGAGCATGCAAGATAGAAGGAATAGAGGAGATACTTTTGTGGCTAAACCCCAAGGGTTTAGGGCTTGGCGTTCGGTCTAAGTCTTTTTGAAAAATGGTTTTGAATGATATCATCAGTTGCCCGATAGATCTTGAGTAAATACTTTTGACAACAAGAGAAGATTCCTCCTCACTAGGGGTGGCTCATTATTTATCGAGTTTTGATCGTGCGTCACTAACCCTCGGAATTTTTGGTTGCCTGGTTACTAAGTAAGACAACCAAATGATGATTCTTTTTTACCGTCATAAGAAGCTTGGAAAAAACCTTTCTACTTTAACGAGGTAGGTATAAACTATAAGGTTTGGGTATATACTCTATCCTCCCAAATCCTACCCAAGAGATTTCACTAGATATATTATTATTGTTGTTTGATTGACCCATTATCTTTCTAGTTCTTATTCTTGTGATAAGATTAATCTAAACCATTAGAAAAAAATTGGAAAGGAAAAATACTTCGAAGATGAACTTATTGCCATGTGTTAGTCAACAAATACTCTGAACTTTTTAAAGTTCCTTCTAGGGCTGGTTGGGGAACTCGTTATTCATTTTTGTAACTTAATCTATGAATTTAACTCTTATACACTGACAACACAACAAAAATTAGTCATATATTCAAGAAAATGTCTTTCATTTACCAACCAAACGATAAAACTGAGTTACATATATGTAATTTGGAGTATCTCATCAACAACTTCCGTTATCGTCCAGCGGTTAGGATATCTGGCTTTCACCCAGGAGACCCGGGTTCGATTCCCGGTAACGGAACTTTTTTATGGTTAGTTTTTACGAGTGGGGTTTGGAAAGAGTAGTGTGTACATAGACTTTTTTGGTATTGTTAATTTCACGAGTGGGGTTTGGGGAGAGTAGTGTGTACATAGACCTTATTTCGACTTTGGGAGACAAATCATTTTGACCTTGGGAGAAAACAAAATAATACGATGAACAAATTACATGGGACAACAGATAGTAACAAAAATCGGAGGAACAAGACCTTAAATGAAGGGTAATATTACGACTACTAGTATGGAAGGATAAACGAAACTATACTCAACTCCCTACTAAACCTTTTACCCTAATCCGTGTCCTCCATAATCTTCTATCTAAGGTCATGTCCTCGGTAACCTGAAGTTGCACCGTGTTTTGTCTAATCACATTTCCACAATACTTTTTCGGCCTACCTCTACCTCTCTTGAAACCATCCATAGCCAACTTCTCACATCTCTGAACAGGGGCATCCGTGCATCTCCTCTATCCTTCTCATAAAGGAAGGAAGCATATGAGAAGTATAGAACGACTCACTCAAAATCACAGCTTGGAATGCATGCTGTATAATGGCAGAAATCCGTCATTTGCCAAAATTTCACCAGAATTGATTGTTCATTATATCGAAAGCTTTGATCACTGATGCATGTGGCAACAATGGTGTAAGTTCTAAGAAGCTCCAGGATGTTACTGATCAAAGCAGTGTATGCTGCATCCGTCAAATCTGTGTAAGTTCTAAGAAGCTCCAGGATGTTACTGATCAAAGCAGTGTATGCTGCATCCGTCAAATCTTCCTGACGAATCATCTTACTGCAATGTAAAGTTTATCTGCGTGTTCATCTGAGATATGAAATGTTCTGTCAAAATCTGCCAACTAATGTACTCGTGAATTCGAAGATCCTCAAAATGGTCTAACACAACATGCAGCCAAGATATCATCTTTGAATACGCTTCAACTACCTAGTTTAGATAGGCAACGCTGCATTAGTACATACGTCAAGCAACAATAAAAAAACAGTTCCAATCATTCCTCACCAGAAATCTCCGCAGCTGCATATTCCATCTCTGAAATGATGAAATCGACTTGCATCCCTCACTGTAATTTCTCTTTTTGTTATTAGACTTATATATTTCAGCGTACTATGGCAGTCAACACAAACTCGTAAGTTCTTAGTAACGAGTATGGACTTGCTAGGATCCAGATTTAGCAACGCAAATGCAACAGCAAGCTTCTCGCTGTGATAAAGAAGAATCTGTTCCTTCTCTTCTTCCTCAACATCTTGGTAAACAAAACTGGATTCTGCACTATACCCCAGCCTTTTCATCTCTGTCGAAAGTTCCTTCAGTTTCTCATTTATTTTAGCGGACTGAGGGTGGGACTGATCCCCACCAACAAATGCATGGACAACACCATTTATTTCAATCCAACTACATCCGGGGCTCTTCTTAAAGCCAGAATCCTTCTGCTTAACTCTGACATGAGCAGCGTCATCCCATCTCCCAGCAGTAGTATACAAATTAGATAAAAGAACGAAATTGCCCGGACTTTCAGGTCCTAGATATTGGATCTTATTGGACACTTCTTCTGCTAGAACAACATGTTTATGGATTCTACACGCGCCAAGCAAGGCACTCCATATACGCACATCAGGTATAAAAGGCATATTCTGGACGAAACCATAGGCCTCGTCCAGAAGACCAGCACGTCCCAAAAGATCCACCATGCACAAGTAATGATCCATCCTAAGGCTAATTTTGAATTCTTCGCACATTCTGAAGAACCAATATTTCCCTTCAGCAACAAGACCTGAATGGCTGCAAGCAAATAAGAGACCAATAAAAGTTATATCATCTGGCATTTGACCTACAGACTGCATGTCATAGAACAGTGAAATTGCTTCCTTTCCACGACCATGAACTCCATATCCAGCAATCATTGCATTCCATGAGACGACATCCCTTTTATTCATCTTATCAAAGACAATCCTAGCAATGCCGATTTTACCACATTTGGAATACATGTCAATTAGAGCATTACAAACAGAAACATCCTCTGTAAATCCACGCACTATCGAGTAACCATGGGTGCAAACTCCAAGTTGTAGAGCAGCCAAATGTGAACAAGCTGGTAAAATTCCCATCACTGTTGCAGATTCTGGTTCAACACCAGACGATTGCATCATTCGTAAAATCTGCAAAGCTTCTTCTGCATGGCCATTCTGGACGCACCCTGCAATTATCGCACTGAAAGAAACAGAATCTTTCAAATCCATCTCCTCAAAGAAGGTAAGCGCATCATCTATTCTCCCGCACTTTGCATACATAGAAAGAAGAGTATTACTCACCATCAAATCCAAATTGGACCCTAACTTTACAGTATAACCATGCATCTTTCTTCCTCTTCTCATATCATTCAGCTTAGCACAGGCTCGAATTACAGTGGCAAGCATGACCGGAGAAGGAGATCCAGTATCTTCCATCCTCATGTGCTCAAACAGTTCCAATCCTTCTTGAGTAGAATCACATGTTACGTATGCTCCTATCATCGCACTCCGTGTGATCTCATTCTTCAAACTCATGACTCTAAAAATCCTCTTCGCGTAGTTCAACCAACCACATTTTGCATACACATCCAAAATACCAGTATCAACAACTACATCATTAACAAACCCCCTTCTCATAGAATACCCATGAACAGCCTTTCCTTCACGCAACTTATTAGCTTCTGAAATAGCAGGAAGAATCGCCACAACTGTAGACGAATTCAGAGTTAACCCATTTTCTTGCATCTCCAAAACCAAACCCTTCATCTCCAAATACAAACCATTCGCCGAGCACCCAGAAATCATCGCATTCCACGCCACAATATCTCTTTGCAACATTCCATCAAACACTCTTCGTGCCTCGACCAACAACCCACACTTTGCATAAAAATCAACCAAAGCTGTACAAACATAAACATCACCATCAAGCCCCTGCCTTTTCACATGTTCATGAATCTTTTCACCATTTTCTACATCTTGCAAAGCAGAACAAGCCTTAATCACAAAAGGGTATGTATAATTCGTCGGTCTAACACCATACTCCACCATTTCATAATACAAATCAATAGCCTTCTCAAAGGGTCCATTCCAAGCATAAGCTCTAATCATTTGGTTCCATAATATGACTTTGTCATTTCTATCTGAGTTAGGAATTAAATCAAACACTTGGCGTGCAAGATCAACTCTGCTGCACGAAACGTAAAAACGCGTTAGCTTGTCTAGTAAATTCGAACGATTATCGTTACAAAGACGGTGCTTGATGATGTGCTGATGGATTGATTTGCCTATAACTAATTGCTTAGTTTCTGTGCATGAATCAAGAATCGAAATGTAATTATAGTAAGGTTCTTGGTTGAAATTCCAACTTATGTTTACTATTCGCCGCGCATTTGCACGTAACATCATGCACTAAGCTCAAGCTATGCGCGGACGAGTCTAGTCTAATTATTTAAAATGGTGATGAAACAAAGGCGGGAACCCTATTTAAACCTTAATATAGATAACAAACTTTTTATATTAAGAAAAACTAAAACTTTAATTTTTTCTTAATTGCATATACTTTTATAATCACTAATACATTTAAAAAATGATATAAATATGTTTTAATAAAATCTTTGAAATCCAACACTTCATACTAATCTTAAAAATTCAAGAATCAAAACCTAATTAATATTATTCCTTATTTCAAAATTCAACACTTACCACTATTTTTGGATTGCTCTTGCAACGCTTATTTAATACTCCCTCTGTCTCTAATTACTTGTTCACTTTTGAATTGACACACTTATTAAGAAAACAATATTTAATATAGTGAGTTTACCAATTTATCTCTATTAATTATGAAGTGGATGAATTAAAAACTTAAGATTTTCAAGAAATTCTACATTTTTCAAACTAATAAATTGAAGGTATAATAGATAAAAAAAATTTGTCCTTTCTTGATTTGTTAAAATGGACAAGTAATTAGGGATAACTAAAAAAGGAAAAATGGACAAGTAATTAGGGGCAGAGAAAGTACTTCATCCGTTCACTTTTACTTGTCACTTATTCCTAAAATAAATTTTCATTTATACTTGTCACTTTTGACATATCAAGAAAAAATAAATTTTTTTCCATGTTTTACCATAAACATTAAATACTTATTTTCCAAATCATTTTTCCAAGACATCATTCAATAGGGGATAGTTTGGTAAAATATTTATATCATTTATTATTTTTTTAACGGAAAAGGGTTAAAAATACCCTTAAACTATCCGAAATACATCATATATACCCTTAAACTATATTTCGGATCAAAACTACCATTCCCGTCAAACTATTGGGTCAAAAGTGTCATTCTTAATAACGGAAGTTGTTAAATGCCACATGGATGCCACATTGCACGCCAATAGTTCCACTGCCACATAGACTAAATGGAAAAGGGTCAAAAATACCCTTAAACTATTCAAAATAGCTCATATTTACCCTTAAACTATATTTCGGCTCAAAACTACCCTTCCTGTCAAACTATTGGATCAAAAGTATTCTTCTTATTAATGGAAGTTGTTAAATGTCATGTGCCACATCGCATGTCAATAGGGTTCTACTGCCACATAGACTAAATTCCTAAATCCTAATTACTCCCCCCCCCCCCCCCCCCTCCCTCTCATTTCATTATTTTCCAGAAACGATTTCACCCCTTCTCCCTCATTTCACGGCTAGGGTTTCACAGTTTTCTTCGTGGCTAGGTTTCAAAGTGGATATTTGTGGTTGTAGGTTAGTAAATCTTTTTTTCTTATTTTACTATGTTTACGATTTCAAAGCATGATAGTTAGGATTTCACAACTTTTCCCTCATTTTGCGGCTAGGGTTTCATAGCTTTCTTCGGGGTTGGGTTTCAAAGTGGATATTCGTGGTTGTAAACATAATAAAATAAGAAAAAAGATTTACTAACCTACAACCACGATTATCCACTTTGAAACCCAGCGACGAAGAAAACTGTGAAACCCTAGTCGCGAAATGAGGGAGAATGAGTGAAATAGTTTCTGGAAAATAATGAAATAAGGGGAAAAAAGAGTAATTAAGATTTAGGGATTTAGTTTATGTGGCAATGGAACCGTATTGGCGTGCAATGTGGCATCCACATGGAATGACATTTAACAACTTCCGTTAATAAGAAGGGCACTTTTGACCCAATAGTTTGACGGAGAGGGTAGTTTTGAGCCGAAATATAATTTAAGGGTAAATATGAGCTATTTCGGATAGTTTAAGGGTATTTTTGACCCGTTTCCTTTTAGTCTATGTGACAGTGGAACCCTATTGGCGTGCAATGTGGCATCCACATGACATTTAACAACTTTCGTTAATAAGAAGGGCACTTTTGACCAATAGTTTGACGGGAAGGGTAGTTTTGAGCTGAAATATAGTTTAGGGGTAAATATGAGCTATTTCAGATAGTTTAAGGGTATTTTTGACCCTTTTCATTTTTTTAATCGGTGCACCAAGTCAAACTGTGACAAGTAAAAGTGAATAGAAGGAGTACTATCTTATTTTAAATTAGGGAAAATGCATAAGTACCCCAAACATATACGCGAAATCACAGAGACACACTTATACTATACTAAGGTCCTATTACCCCCCGAACTTATTTTATAAATAATTTTCTACCCCTTTTCGACCTACGTGGCACTATCAACCAAATAGCTTGAAAAAATTGTCAACACGCGCTGAGTCCAAAAGATAGTGTCACGTAGGTCAAAAAGAGGTAGAAAATTATTTATAAAATAAGTTCGAGGGTAATAGGACCTTAGTATAGTATAAGTGTGTCTCTAAAATTTCGGGCATAGGTTGGGGGTACTTATACATTTTCCCTTTAAATTAATGCAAAGTTCAATAAAGACTACTAATCTTCTTCCAAGGTTCAATTTAATTTAAGGTTCATATTATTTTAATTCAAGGTTCAAATTAAGTTAAGGTTCAAATTATTTTTATTCGAGGTTCAACTTTCAGTCAAGGTTCAAATTATTTATATTCAAACTTTCTAGTTCCCTCATTGCTTTTTGCTTCAAATATCTACATTAATAGTAAAAGATGTTCTTTTTTTCCTTTCTAAAAAGGAAGTTTTTACTTAATAAGAGTAGACAAGTCCAAATACTCTATAGACATAATGATAAAGAAAAGAAGATTGATAGAGAAAATGACGCGCAATAATGCAATAGGGAATTTTTTGAACTTTCAAAGATGAGTGGTTGGACTATTATAGTTCATTGGTCCTAAGGAGTCGATTGATTCACATATTGAATTATTCGAAATTATAGTTTTGTGATTATTTTTTTTTACTTAGAAGATGAAATAAAATAATATCAAACTGAATGAAATAAATAGATATGAAAAATTAAATTAAATATATAAATTTATTCCAAACTTAATTATTTGATATATCTCCTTCTTCCATGAACCAAACTACCCCTTATGACTTTTAAAATCATAATAAAGACCATGAAACTTGGTATTATCAAGTGAGGGAAGGATAAGGTTTTTCAATATGGAAATATCATATTACAACTTAAAAATTGCAATATTTTCATTTGCAATGATCTTTGTATTGGGATGGGCATGGAGAATCTTGAATTATGTTTGGTTCAAACCAAAAAAATTGGAGAAACAACTAAGACAACAAGGTTTCAAAGGAAATTCTTACAAGTTGTTGTATGAGGATATGAAAGAGATGAAGAAGATGATTGAAGAAGCTACATCCAAGCCTATCAATTTCTCACATGACTTGATTTGGCCTAGAATCAACCCCTTCATCCACAAAACCATCACAAATTATGGTAAGTAAATGGGCAAATATGACACTATTTGTTATCTTTTAGCTGATCTGATAATATAGAAATTTTTACTAATATCATCCGTGTATAAAATTTTATACCATCAGGTCACATTTATCTACGATAGTAAATAATATGTCATCTTTTAAAGATTATAAATATAATTTTTAAGGAGGTTAATATATAGATATCCTTTTTAGATAAATTGTTTGGGTAAATTATGCTTTTAAATGTACTAATGTGATAAGATAGAAATTGGGTGGATAATGAGTCCGACCTTCTATCCTTCTTTTACTTTACTTTAATATCAAGCTTATGTATTCAACAAGGTTTGGACCCCTTGACATGCGCTTTTAACATACGCATGATGTGATGTGTTCTCCTTACCACTAGACCAAAGTTCTAACGGAAGCTATTTACAATATTTTGTAGGTTATCAATCCATCCATGCTTTTCATACAAAAATTACTTTGTAATTGTATAATTGTGTAACATTTCTTTTCAAAACATATCATACATGTATGCATACATTTGTCGTACCGTCATAGATACATATACATACAATCATACATATGTATAGTGATAGTCAACAACATACATACATACATACGTACATATAAAAACGCGTAATTTTCCCTTTCACTTCAATTTTGTAGGTAAGAATTGTTTTGTGTGGATGGGGCCCAAACCAGCAGTCCTCATCACAGAGCCCAAATTGATAAAGGAGGTGTTAACAAAGAACTATGTTTATCAGAAGGCACGTGGCAGCCCACTATTGAAGTTGGCAATATCTGGGCTTGCGGAGTATGAAAAAGATAAATGGGCCACACATAGAAGGATTCTCAATCCAGCTTTTCACATTGACAAGTTGAAGGTTTTAGCCACTTTGAAACTTAGTTATACTCTTTTTGTTTTAATTTTTTTGTCTAGTTTCGACTTGACAAGAAGTTTAACAAAGTAAAGAAGACTTTTGATATCTTTTCGTTTAAAATATAGATATATAGAATATATCAAAATGATTTTTAATTTTGTGATCTTAAATATGTCATGTCGAAAGTTTAAAATTAAAGAGTTGTTAAAAAAAAAAGACATTATTTTTTAACAGGACTAAAATGAAAAGTAAAACATACAAATTGAAATCATTTCTCTTACTACTTACTATTCCTCTTGTTTCGATTTGATTGAGCACAGAGATAAATACTGAAGTTAAATATATATGTATTAAAAAGATTCATTAAATATGTATAAATATTAAGTTTTTCATAATTCTTGAATTCTTATTAATGTGCAGCATATGCTACCTGCATTCAAATTGACCGTTAACGAAATGTTGAACATATGGAAAGAAGTTGTCTCGAAAGACGGAACAGAGATAGATGTGTAGCCGTATCTTCAAACTTTGACAAGTGATGCAATTTCAAGAACTGCTTTTGGCAGTAATTATGAAGAAGGAAAAAAGATTTTTGAACTTCAAAAAGAACAAATTGAATTAATTTAAAAAATGACACACTCAATATACATTCCAGGATGGAGGTAAGAATTTTTTTTTTTCAATTATGAATTCTGAATAAAACTCCAAAGTTAAGCATGCTTGAGAAATGAATAACCACATAAAGTTTTCATGTTGTAGATTTTATATACATAATTCTTCAAGCATTTAGAATCACCAACTCTTTGTTTTATTTTATTTTATGTTAAATTAAATAATAGTTAACTTTTGTAAACTTCAATGACCAAAACAACACATGTCAAATAATTGAATGTTAAATATGTATAAAATAAGGATTAAAAGTGAAATTATGTAATAATACAAGGACTAAAACTGCTATTTCCCCATTGAAAATATATGGTTTAGTTGAATGTGAAAGATAGTATTGTGTTATCATTCTTTTATTAGTTCGTGAAACAAATTTTAACTATCTTCGAGAATCGTTTTTACGTGTCTCTAAGTACTCTATCATATTTCTTATATATTTATTTTTGTATCAATAATTATTGTTATCATGATCATGAACTATAGGTTTGTGCCAACTAAAAAGAACAAAAGGATGATGCAAATCTTCTATGAAGTAAAATCACTTATATTGGGAATTATAAATAAAAGAATGAGGATGATTGAAGCTGGAGAATCACATGATGATTTATTAAGTATATTATTGACATCCAATTTAAAAGAAATACAACTACATGGGAATAGAAATTTGGTATGAGCATTGATGAGGTGATTGAAGAGTGTAAATTGTTCTATTTTGCTGGACAAGAGACTACTTCAACTTTACTTGTGTGGACAATGATTTTATTATGCAAGTATCCTATTTGGCAAGAAAGAGCTAGAGAAGAGGTTTTACAAGTGTTTAGAAGTGATGAACTTGATTATGATAAGTTGAATCAACTAAAAGTAGTAAATATTGCCTACATGCTCAATTATTTTGAACTTTTTTGTTATTATGGTAGTATCTAGGTCAGTTTGCAAGTCGTACCTCAACCAAGTACTTTATATATAAATATATCAGAAAATTCCACCAACCAAATACATGAGAAAAAAATTCTTGGAGTTTTATGTATTGAAATTCGAAGTCTAGTCTTTCGTGATTTTCACTCATATCACTTTATTGACAACTAGGTCATACTCTTCGGCCTAACTTTCACTTTTTTGCACCTAAGTCAGTAAACCACTTTTTGTAATAGAAAAGTCATTCAACTTTACTTAATATCACCAAAAGTTTTTAAATTAGTTTTTTAATCATAATGTCACTCAACTTCATCTAAATATTATCAAAATGGTAATCAAGTTCTAAATTCAACTTTATCTTCTAAAATCAATATGTTTAATGGCTATATTAACTTGTGATCTATTATTTTATAGGTGACTATGATCTTAAACGAGGTCTTAAGGTTGTATACATCAATATACACGATTAATCGAATGGTAAATACAGAAACAAAGTTAGGGGATTTGTGTTTACCCTCTGGGGTGCAACTCATATTAGCAACAATGTTAGTGCATCATGATACTGAAATATGGGGAGATGATGCAATGGAGTTCAAGCCAGAGAGATTTAGTGAAGGAATATCAAAAGCAACAAAAGGACAAGTTGTATTTTTTCCATTTAATTGGGGTCCAAGAATATGTATTGGGCAAAATTTTGCTATGTTAGAGGCAAAAATGGCAATGGTCATGATTCTAAAACACTATGCATTTGAACTCTCTCCATCTTGTGCTCATGCTCCTCATCCATTATTGCTTCAACCTCAATATGGTGCTCAATTGATCATGCACAAGTTGTAGAAGTGGTCATGATGTGTTGTCTTTTGAGTCATGCTATATCCTATATGTATTGTTCTTTAATTATAGTTAAATTAAGTAGGAGTTTAAGGATTGACATATATAGTAGTTATGTATAAGTGAAGTCATATATTGTATTGTATAAGAGTGGAGTGCTTTATAATAATAATATTAGTGCACTTTATGTTTATGATTTTCCTCTTCCATTCTTTTTGCAATAACTCGGTCAGTCATTTTTGAAAGAATATTATGTTAAGAGTATCTTTAGGTTGACATGACAGAACAAAATAACAGTTTCTCTGTAATGTGTGTGTTATAAATGATCTCCCTAACGATATATTGTAGAATATGACATTCTTTTTTATATAGACTAATTATGGAAATTTGTCTACTTACCACTTTTAGGTGATTCAACTTGTCATAGTCAAATTCATCACTTTCAAATACTTGTAGAACCTCTTGTCTAGCTCTTTCTTGCTTAATAGGATATTTGCACAATAAAATCATTGTCCACACAAGTAAAGCTGAAGTAGTCTCTTGCCCAGCAAGATGAAATAATTTACACTCTTCAATCACCTCATCAATGCTCATACCAAATTTTTTATGTCCATGTTGTTGGATTTCTTGTAAATTGGATGTCAATAGTATACTCAATAAGTCATCATGTATTTCTCCATCTTCAATCATCTTTATTCTTTTGTTGATGATTCCTAATATCAATGCTCCCATGCCACTTCATTAAAGATTTGTTTCATCCTTCTATTTGTTTTTGTTGGTACAAACCTATATGGTTAATTCAAGAAATTAAGTAATATGAAGTTGAATTCAAGAAATGTTATCGAGGAAATGATCTTCTATATTTACTTATAATTTGAACAAAAGAAAAAGTCATGATGAAGATCTCATGCATTATTTTTTGTTGATCTGCTTTAGAAAATGTCACACAACTAAAATAATAACATTTTACTTGTCACCTTTTACATATCAAAAAAAGATAATAATTTTTTTTTTCATGTTTTACCCTCAACATTAAATACTTATTTTTCAAATCATTTTTTCAAGACATCATTTTATAGAGAAGAGTTTGATAAAATACCTATATTATTTTTTATTTTTTTTAATGAGTGTGTCAAGTCAAACTGTGACAAGTAAAAGTGAACAGAAGGAGTCTATCTTATTTTAAATTAATATAAGGTTCAATAAAGACTAATCTTCTTCCAACGCTCAATTCAATTTAAGGTTCATATTATTTTAATTCAAGGTTCAAATAAAGTTAAAGGTTCAAATTATTTTTATTCAAGGTTCAACTTTAAGTCGAGGTTCAAATTATATGGCATTGTTGTATTTTAATATTTATATTTAAACTTTCTAGTCCCTCATTGCTTTTGCTTCAAATATCTACATTAATATATAGTAAAAAATCTTCTTTTTCTTTCTAAAAGGGAAGATTATTCTTAATTTAATAAGAGTTGACAAGTCCAAATATTCTAGACACAGAGATAAAGAAAAAGATTGATAGAGAAAATGGCGTGCAATAAATCTATGGATTTTTTTGAATTTTCAAATACGTGTGGTTGGACTATAATTTCTTGATCACTACCTTGATTCACGAATTAAGTTATCTTGAAATTATAATTTTATAATTAATTTGAATACTTAGAAGATGAGATAAAATAATATCAAATTGAATGAAATAAACAGATATGTAAAATTAAATTAAAGATATAAATTTATTTCAAACTTAATTATCTGATATATCACCTTCTTCCATTAACCAAACAAGTAACAACCCCTTATGACTTTTAATTTATTAATTTAAAACTTCATTTTCTTCTCATTATTTATAGTAGTATTTAGTATGTATATATATGGTACTAATATCATAATAAAGAGCATGAAACTCGGTATTATCATATTGGAGGCTAGTGAGGGAAGGGTTAGGTTTTTCAATATGGAAATGTCATATTACAACTTAAAAATTGCAATATTTTCATTTGCAATTATCTTTGTATTGAGATGGACATGGAGATTCTTGAATTATGTTTGGTTCAAACCAAAAAAATTGGAGAAACAACTAAGACAACAAGGTTTCAAAGGAAATTCTTACAAGTTGTTGTATGGGGATATGAAAGAGATGAAGAAGATGATTGAAGAAGCTACATCCAAGCCTATCAATTTCTCACATGACTTGATTTGGCCTAGAATCAACCCCTTCATCCACAAAACCATCACAAATTATGGTAAGTAAATGGGCAAATATGACCCTTTTATGCATTTACTATTTGGTATCTTTTAACTGATCTAGTTATGTAGAAATTTTTACTAATATAATTGGTGTATAAAATTTTATACCATCAGATCACATTTATCTACGATAGTAAATAATATTTTTAGATGAGTTTATTGTGTAAATTACACATTATCTATGACTTAAGCTCTTATATTGTACTAATATTGGGTGAATAATGATTCCAACCTTTTATCATTCTTTACTTTAATATCGACCTTATGTCTTCAACAAGGTTTGGACCCCTTGACGTACACTTCTAACATACACATCACTAGACTAAAGTTCTGAAGGAAGCTATTTATAATATTTTGTAGGTTATCAATCCATGCTTTTCATACAAAAATTACTTAGTAATTATATAATTGTGTAACATATCTTTTCAAAAAAACATATCGTACATACACTAGAGGCATACATACATACATACAATCATACATGTATACATACATTTGTCATACCGTCATAGATACATATACATTTAATCATACATACGTATAGTGATCGTCATACAACATACATGCATATAAAAATTAATAGACTTAAATTTTCCCTTTCACTTCAATTTTGTAGGTAAGAATTGTTTTGTGTGGATTGGGCCCAAACCAACAGTCCTTATCACAGAGCCCAAATTGATAAGGGAGGTGTTAACAAAGAATTATGTTTATCATAAGGCACGTCGCAGCCCACTATCTAAGTTTGTAATATCTGGGCTTGCGGCCCATGAAAAAGATAAATGGGCCACACATAGAAGGATTCTCAATCCAGCTTTTCACCTTGACAAGTTGAAGGTTTTAGACACTTTGAAACTTTGCTATACTCTTTTTGTTTCAATTCATTTGTCTGGACGTCTGGTTTTCACTTTGACAAGAAGTTTAACAAAGTAAAGAAGACTCTGGATATCTCGTCGTCTTAAACTATAGATATATAGAATATACAAAAATGGTTTTTAATACTGTAATCTCAAGTATGTCAAAAGTTTAAAACTATAGAGTTGTCAAAAAAAAAGAAGAGAGATTGTTTTTGGAAATGGACTAAAACAAAAAGTAAAACAAAAGCATTGAAGCCATTTCTCTTACTACTTATTATTTCTCTTGTTTCAATTTCTTTGTCATAATTTGACTGTGCGCAGAAATGAAGACTGAAGTTACATATATGTGTTAGAAGATTTATTAAATATATGTAAATATTAAGTTTGTGATAATTCTTATTAATGTGCAGCATATGCTACCTACATTCAAATTAACTGTTAACGAAATGTTGAACACATGGAAGGAAGTTGTCTCGAAAGACGGAACAGAGATAGATGTGTGGCCATATCTTCAAACATTGACAAGTGATGCAATTTCAAGAACTGCTTTTGGCAGTAATTATGAAGAAGGAAAAAAGATTTTTGAACTTCAAAAAGAACAAATTGAATTAATTTCAAAAATGACACGCTCAATATACATTCCAGGATGGAGGTAAGAAATATATATATATATATATATATATTTATTTATTTTTTTTATTTTTTTTTTCATTATGAATTCTGAATAAAACTTCAAAGCATGCTTGAAAATAAGTACGTCGAACTAGGATGGATAATTGCATAAAATTTTCGTGTTGCATACTTTATATACACAATTCTTCAAGCATTTAGAATCACCAACCTTTTATTTTATTTTATTTTATTTTATGTTAAATTAATTAATAGTTAACTTTTGTTAATTTCAATGACCAAAACAACACATTTCAAATAATTCAAGGTTAAATATGCATCATCAAATAATACAGGGACCAAAATTGAAATTACGTAATAATACAAGGACTAAAACCGTTGTTTCCCCTTTGAAAAAAATATGTGGTTTAGTTGAATGTGAAAGATAGTATTGTGTTATCATTCTTTTATTAGTTCGTGCAACAAACTTCAACTATCTTCAAGAAGCGTATTTACGTGTCTAAGTACTCTATGATATTTCTTGTATATTGATTTTTTTAACAATAATTAATGTTATCATGATCATGAACTATAGGTTTGTGCCAACTAAAAAGAACAAAAGGATGATGCAAATCTTCTATGAAGTAAAAGCACTTATATTGGGAATTATCAATAAAAGAATGAGGATGATTGAAGCTGGAGAATCACATGATGATTTATTGAGTATATTATTGACATCAAATTTAAAAGAAATACAACAACATGGGAATAAGAAATTTGGTATGAGCATTGATGAGGTGATTGAAGAGTGTAAATTGTTCTATTTTGCTGGACAAGAGACTACTTCAACTTTACTTGTGTGGACAATGATTTTATTATGCAAGTATCCTATTTGGCAAGAAAGAGCTAGAGAAGAGGTTTTACAAGTGTTTGGAAGTGATGAACTTGATTATGATAAGTTGAATCAACTAAAAGTAGTAAGTATTCCATATACATGTTCAATTATTTAGAACTTTTTTGTTATTAAGGTGGTATATATCTAGTTCAGTTTGCAATACATCAATTGGATACTTTATATATAGATATATTTTAGAAACCCCACCAACCAAAGATTAGGTAGATGAGGAAAATATTTTTGGAGTTTTTATGTCGATTCTATTTGAATTTGAAGTACAGTCTTTCGTGATTTTCACTCATATCACATTATTGACTACTAGGCCATACTCTTCAGCCAACATTCACTTTTTTGCACCTAAGTCAGTAAACCACTTTTTGTAATAAAAAGTCATTCAACTTTACTCAATATCACCAATTTAAATGATAATGTCACTCAAGTACTTCATCTAAATATCATCAAAATGGTAATCAAGTTCTAAATTCTACTTTATCTAAATCAATATTTTTAATGGCTATATTAACTTCTGATTTATTATTTTATAGGTGACTATGATCTTAAACGAGGTATTAAGGTTGTATACATCAGCATACGCGATTAATCGAATGGTAAATACAGAAACAAAGTTAGGAGATTTGTGTTTACCCTCTGGGGTACAACTCATATTAGCAACAATGTTAGTGCATCATGATACTGAAATATGGGGAGATGATGCAATGGAGTTCAAGCCAGAGAGATTTAGTGAAGGAATATCAAAAGCAACAAAAGGACAAGTTGTATGTTTTCCATTTAGTTGGGGTCCAAGAATATGTATTGGGCAAAATTTTGCTATGTTAGAGGCAAAAATGGCAATGGTCATGATTTTAAAACACTATGCATTTGAACTATCTCCATCTTATGCTCATGCTCCTCATCCATTATTGCTTCAACCTCAATATGGTGCTCAATTGATCATGCACAAGTTGTAGAAGTGGTCATCATGTGTTGTCTTTTGAGTCAAGCTATATACTATATGTATTGTTCTTTAATTATTGTTAAATTAAGTAGGAGTTTGAGGATTGGCATATATAGTAGTTATGTATAAGTGAAGTCATATATTGTTTTGTCTAGTGGAGTACTTTATTATAATAATATTAGTGTACTTTATGTTTATGATTTTCCTCTTCCATTCTTTTTGCAATAACTCGGTCAGTCAAAAGTTTCGTAAAATTTACTATTTTACCCCTTCCGATATCTACCCTAAGGTGTTTTTGGTTGAATTTTGAAAGTTGGTTTTGAACTTTGAGTTTAAAGTTAAGAATTCGATAATTTTTTAGTTTGAAAGGCTAAGTTGTTAAAAAAATGGTTTTCGGTATCTTTTGGAGTTTCAAGTGTCGGAATGGAATTCCATTGATTCCATCAGTTTCGAAATGTGAAATCTGATCTGCGAAAGTTGTGGTTTCAGATTCATAGTCTTTTTGAGGATTTGAGGTCCTAAGTTGTGAATTTTTTGAAATTTGGCCTTTGGATTGACTTTGGTTAATATACTGGGTTTGGGTGCTCGGATCGGAATTCCAATAGTTCACTTCAGTTCGGGGGATGATTTTAGGTCTAGTGGAGGTCTTGGTTGACTTTTGTGAGGTTCCGTGTAACACTCTAGAAATTTTTTGAGCTAAGACTTGAACCATCCTTCGTTGTGAGTAGGATTTTACCGAGGAGTTAAAAAAATTCTTAAGTTTTAAGGTCACTAGATGTAGCACCTTGAGTTCCAAAAAGAATTAAATTGGAAATAGCAAAATCTGAAATTTTGCAAGTTATGCTTAAGTATGAGTTTTGGGTCGACTTCAAACGACCATAACTCCTAGCTCATGATGAGTTAGATGTGCTACCAGATACCGTAGAAAATACCTTTGAATTATATTTCCAACGCCACCGAGTTTGCTCAGTTTCGATATTGTATGAGGGAGATATGTCCATTCGAAATTGGGTTGTCTAGATAAGGAAAGCCAAAACCGGATTTTTGAGGGGTATTTTGGTCTTTTCCTTACCCAATCAGATTTAATTCATTTTTAGTAATATTTTAAGGGTCTAATCCTATTAGGTTCAGTTTTATAATCCTAGTTTACGCCTAGGGTTTTAGTTTAAAGTTCAAGAAGAGAAAAAAAGAAGAGAGAAGAGGAGAAAAGAGAAAGGATGAAAGCATCCGTCGAGATTCTTGCATCTTGTTGCGGATTTTCGCCATGGGTTTAATCCCTAAGAGGTATGTAAGCTTCCATAGTGTTGGGTTTGTTCACCCACACGCCAAACATGTTATTTTCAGCAAAATTTCATTTTTGAAGTTAAAAGATTAGAGTTCTTGATGAGTTCTTGATAGGTGTTCTTGAAGTTCTTTCTAAATCTTGTTGTGTTGGTTTTTGATGATTTCTTGAGATCAAAGTGAGTATTTTAAGGGATGTATTGAGTAGATTATAGTGTACTTATGTTAAGTAATCAATTCTAAGTGATTGGGGAAGAAACCGTTCGATTTTAGGCAAAATAGGGTGAGAAAACGAGCAAAGAGTTTCGTCGAGTTTTCTGGGTTGGGGCCTGGCGCGACGCGCCAGCCAGAGCGCTCCAAACCCTCCTCTGAAGTTTAGGGGCTGGCGTCCCACGCCACCTATAGCGCCAGGGTCGCCTGCCCCCTCCAGTTTGTCGTCGGTTACCCCGGTTGAGTCGTTTAAAATGCACCTTCACTCATTTTCGATTCTAACTACTCTAAGCTACTTCTAAACACCTAAAATCATTTCTAACATGATCATAACCTTGAATTCATAATTCAAATTCAAGGTAGAGCTAAGAGTTAAGTTTTGAGAATTCTTTCGAACATTCTAAGAAAGTCCCTTTGAGTCCTTTTGTGGAATCTTCTACAACTTCTAGTAATTTGTTTCAAGACTCGAGCAAGTGAGTATGAGGATGAGGAGAATGTATTCATGAGTCTTCCTTGTCATCATGAGATCTTTCTTATCATGAACTATAATTTTTGAATTCATAATTCACAGTCAAGAGAGAGAGTTAAAAGTAGAGTTCAAGAAAGTCTTTGAGTTCAATTGTGAATCCTTTGAGATCAACTATCGATTTGAACTAAGTTTTGACGAAGTAAGTCAAAGAATAAGAAAATTCCTATATATGAGTTCCATATAGTTATGTAGACCATCGAGTCGAGTTGTTTCATGCCCATAATTTTGCATGAACTTCGTAAGTTGAGTATCTTTCAAAGAAGTGGTATCTTCAAGTTCTAAGCCTTTAAGTGTTGAGTTCCTAATCCCTTGTGAGAAGCATCTTTGAGTACTTGAGTTGAATATTTCATGCCCATAATTCTGCATGAACACTATAAGTCGAAAAATCTTGAGATGAGTAGTATCATTGAAGTTCTTGAGTTTCAAGTATTGAGTTGTATCTATGGTTATTGAAAACGTTGCATTGAGTCGTTCATGTCCATAATTCGGCATGAACCATACCTTAAGAAGATTTTTACAAATGTTTAAACTTTGTTTTAAGACTTAAAGTTTTGAGTTTAATAAAGAGTAAAGAGTAAAGTTTGAAGTTCTTTTCTTCAAAAGTATACGTGGACTATGTATTCTCAAAGAGTAAATGTTTTCACATTTAAATAAGAACGGAAACTGAGATTTCCAAAGTGCCTTTGGGCTAGTTTTCAAAAAAGAGTAATCACTTTCTAAATGAAGCAAGAGAGGAAACTGAGATTTCCAAAGTAGCCTTTGGGCTAAGTTTTTGAGTACTAATCTCAAATCACAGAAGAAGTTTGTTTTTTTAAAAACATAAGAGCTAGTATATTTTGGGAGTAGTATTGAGCACCGATATGGGGAGAGTTCAAACAACTCACAGCCCTCATAAACCATGTAGCCATCATGGGTAAAAAAGGGTCATACTTTTTAGATGAACCCTTTTCACATAGACTAGTGGATCCATTAGTAGTTCAGGTCCTATACCTTTGGCCGGGTATAGGATGCGCTGACAGCGTGAGGTAGATCGTTGTATCATCACTATAACTCTTATGTGATAGTTGTCGGTTAGAGAAACTCCCACAGAAGTTATTGTATTTTTATATACATCACTTAATTGTATTTTCATATACATTTCAGAGCTATGTTGTATCCTTGTTATATACACAGAGTTGACATCATGTTTTTAAACAACTTTTCTTTATATTGCACTTGTTTTAAACTGCTTTATATTGAAATAAGTTCAATTAAGTACCAGGAGTTGAGTATTTCGAGTTGAGTACCTTAAGTTGAGTATCTTGAGTTTATCTGTGCATCATTGAGTTGAGTATCATATCTTTGAAGTTGAGTATCATATCTTTGAGTTGAGTATCTAATCTCTGAGTTGAGTATCTTATCCTTGAGTACTTCTGAGTGAGTAAGTTTGAGTAGTTTGGAGTATTCCTTGAGTTGAGTAAGATTGAAAAGAGGTAAGTATCTTTTGTTTTTATCAAGTTTCAAGCTTATGTTTATGTTTTAGAATTTCTCTTACATGCTCGTACATTCTACGTACTGAGCCATTTGGCCTTCATCTTCTCATGATCATCAACAAGAGCTTCGTTGATACATCCGGAAGTTCGAGTTAGCTATGGTGAGCCTCCTTGTTTCCGGAGGATTTCATTTACTTTTCAGTTTAGTCAGGATGCCGTGGGTCTTGTCCCAACTTCCATCTTTATCAATCAGAGGCTTCATAGATGGTCAGTATAGTTGAGAAGTCTGTATTATTCATTTATTTTACTAAATGTTTTAAAGATTTAATTTGCCTATTTTATGGCGAGTTGAATATATTATTTTTATTCAGAGTTAATATTTTAAGTTAAAGCTTTGTATTTAAGTTATTGATTTTATTTAGTTTTTAAGCTTTGTATGCTTGAATCAGTTTTCCGCTTGTAGTCAGCCAGGATGAGGGTTCGCTTGGGACCAACAATGGTTCTCGAGTGCCGGCCATGTCCAGGGTGTAGGCTCGGGTCGTGACATTTCGAGCTTGTTTTAGCCTTTTTAGGCGTTGAGTTAGTTCCTTGTGACTTTCACGGATGTGTTCAGATATGTCCAGATACATTTATCTCAGGATACATTATATCCAAGTGGATTTGCATATATTTGGGATACATAACAAATCTCACTCGCCTCCCTCGCCTCTCTCCCATCTCGCTCATCGCTCTCCTATGTATCTGGTATCCCAATACATGCGAATCACACCAGATACATACATATACATGTATATAGTGTGTATCTAGCGTGATTCACATATATCTGGAATACATAACAAACTCTCGTTCGCCTCCCTCCCCATCTTGCTCGCCTCTCACCCTATATTAGTGTATCTGGTAGCAAAAATATATGTATCGAAGTATATCTTTCTCAATATATGATAACAAAACTCTTAATTAGTTGTAAGATACATAATATTTTGAAATATTTCCAAGCAAGTTGCATTAAAAACCACACAACATAATTATATTGACTGAAGTGTATGATCTATTACAAGAAAAACATGTTCACACATATAGTTGATGATTACAATGATATAAATCTAATAATAAGTTCCAAATGATCATTTCTCCAACTTGTACAAAATCAAATGAGCACCATATTGAGGTTGAAGCAATAGTCGATGAGGAGCATGAGCATAAGATGGAGAGAGTCCAAAAGAATAGTGTTTGAGAATCATGGCTATTGCCATTTTTGCCTCTAACATAGCAAAGTTTTGGCCAATACATATTCTTGGACCCCAACTAAAAGGAAAAAACACAAGTGGTCCTTTTGTTGCTTTGGCTACTCCATCACTAAATCTCTCAGGATTGAACTCCATTGCATCATCTCCCCATATTTCAGTATCATGATGCAACAAAATTGTTCCCAACAAAAGTTGCACAAATTCCCTAGCTTTGTGTCTTTGGTCACCACTCTATTAATAAAATATCCTGATGGATACAACCTTAAAACCTCATTTAAGATCATAGTCACCTATTAAAAAGAAAAATATCACTAGTGATTAGTCTCATC